AATGTGTGCAAAAACTATGAATTGCATGTCTCTTCCCACGTGTTTACAGACTGCTGGCCCACAGAGACTTACAGAGACTGGCTAACCCCACTCCCACCCCCACCCACCCCACCTTGTGCTGTCTGTGACAAGCACGCTGAGGCTCTGAGTTGTTGAGGTTTTTGATACCATTCTGTCAGAGTATACACCACTTTTCTGTCTGTGTGTCTGTCTTCATTCCCTCAATGTTAACAGTCAGGTTCCCAGACCCGAGCCACACAAGTCTTGGCAGAAGACCCAAACATATAAAAATAATAACAACCAATTTGTGTTACAATAAACTCTCCCTGTCCCCCCCACAGGTGTATTAGTCAAGGTGTATTAGTGTTGACTGTTAAAACACACAGTCTCCAGAGTGTGTATGTAGACTCCTGAACAGATGGGTGTGAAGGCTCCTGTCAGGCGGGGAGTCAGGTCCACACTCTCCCGTCTCTTAGCTCTGGTCCTCGGCAGTCAGTTTCCCTCAGCTACTATGATTTTTCCCCAGATTATACTGCTGGCTCTGTTGGAGAATTTCACAAGGGAGGCAGGCCGATGCTCAGCTAGAATTTAGTCATAGTGGCCATACATCTCTTCAAAGGAGGAGGCAGTGTTCTGGGTAAGAGGGAATGAACAGGATGTCAGCTCAGCAGGGGGAAATGAGCTTGCTATTTGATCCCAGTATCATACAAACAAACAAAACATCAAAGAGGGACAGAATATTGGGGGGGAGGTGTTGTTCTTAGTAAAACCCATTAGAGCTGGAGAGATGGCTCAGCAGTTAAGAGCACTAACTATTCTCATCACCCACATAGCAGGTCACTGCAACCTATAACACCAGTCCTAGGGGATCTGATCCCCTATCCTGGCTTCCACCAACACCAAGCATGTACACGGCACACAGACATATCCAGACATTTACGATAACTGTGAATTCTCTAACATTCTCTTCTAGGTAGGGCGTGGCCTGGGTGCCGGGGGGGGGGGGGGGCGGGGGACGACGGGACTTCTCCTGAAGTCATTCCCCATGAAAGGAAATATCTGTGTAAAAGATATGAGAAAGAAGTGCCAATTAGCATGCACTGGGAACTTGAGCACATGATTTCCCCCGAAATGAGAGGTTCATGCAGAAAATAGGATGAAGGCTGGAAATGATATTAGCATTGTGTTGTGGTGGCATTGAATGCCAGGTCAAAGAGCCTTACCAACATTTCAGGTGAAGACCAAAGAGACACCATTTAGAGTTAAAATTGAGCAAATACCAAGCTTCTGTTTGTTCTCTGGACATCACTCTATTTTGTTGTAGTTTGGACTTTTTACAAAGTGGATCCAAAAGGTCATTTGTTGAGGTTTTGTCCTCAGACATTGACACTGCTGAGAACTGGTTGGACCATGAAGATTCTAACTTAATCAATGGATCAATCAATTGATGGATTCATAGCCGAATTGATTATTGGTAGGTGACACCTATGGAGAAAGTAGGTCACTGGAAATGTCTTTGAAAGGTATATATTGGGTCTCTGGCCCCTTCCTGTCTTTCTACTTCCAGTTGTAGAAAATGTGTGACTCTGTGACCCATTGCCAGGCTATTCTATTTTACACAGGCCAGTGATGGAGACTTGAGTCCCTTCGAGCCAGAATCTCTCTTCCTCACATTAGTTGTCACAGTAAAGAAAACACTTACCACACGCTTCTAGCATTCACTCCAGACAGTCTCAGAAGACTGCAGATGAATGTGTCTCTGTCCCCAGCACAATGGCATTCTGTGTGCCAATTTTCCTCTCTGATATCTTCTTCTACATTTCTTATTTCTTTACTTTTAAAGTCTTACAGGGATGGAGAGATGGCTCAGTGGTTAGGAGCACTTGTTGCTCTTAAGGAGGACCTGACTTTGATTCCCAGCACCCACATGGTGTCCCATAGCCATTATTAACTCCAGTTTTAGAGAATTATATGCCTCCTTTTGACTTCTTTGTACACATACACACATGCAGGCATAACTCACATTCCAAAAATCTTTCTAAAGAGAATTCAGTTTAAGGAAAAATAGTTTTTAAATAAGACTTAAATAAACAAACTCAAGAAAATTTTAGAAAAGAGGACAAAATAATTTAACACCTCATCTGTCAGAGGCAAATGACATGTATATGTGTATGTGAATTACATGTGAGTTATATGTATACATATATGTAATATGCAATGTATGAGTTATATATGCTAGGTATCATTTTATGGTCTGCTTTTCAGTATTCAGCATATCTCCTAAGAGTTCTCATCTCACGGAGAGATCTTTAAGAACACAATTGTTTCCCCCAGGGCCTCAGGAGGTTAACTTTTGAGCTGTCCCCAGGTTGAAGGGTAACAGGAGAGTCACTTCTATTTCTCTATTAAGGAATGACTGATCAATGGTAGATTTACTTTCAAATATCATACACCCGAGGTTGGAAGTGGTGTGTGTTTGAACTTGTCATACAGATATACTCTCTAATCAGGGTGAGATACCTCATAATCCCATGAGCCATATATTGAACGAAGCATAAATCCTAATTTGCTTATATGGCCCCATATGTAGCTTCCTCCTACGTAGCTATTAATAGTGGACTCCTAAGGTTTGAGTATATCCACAAAAGACTCAGATGGTAGAATCTTAGTTCTTTCATATGGCAGTGTTAGGGAATGTGGCTCAGCTGGAGGTGTTTGGGTAAAGACAAGTAAAATGGCAATCAATTGCCCATCAGTGTTCATAGCAACGTTGTTCACGGCTACCTGAAGGTGCTGCCCTGGGGATGGAAACCCAAGACCTTGTGCATTCTAGACAAGCTCACTAGTAATGGAGCAACACCCGCAGCTCTGGATTTCCTCTCTAAAGAAGGATTAGGTGTGGTGGCCCACACCTTTAATCCTAGTACTCCCTGACAGATGAAGGTGGATCTCTGTGAGTTCCAGCGTGGTCTACAAAGCAAGTTCCAGGTCAGCCAAGGAGGTTATAGCAACCCTGTCTTGAAACAAGCAAGTCAACAATAGCAACGACAAAGAGGTAAGGAAGAAGGGTGACCATTTCTTGTCACATTCTGTCTAAGCTTTTGAAATAAAACGTATTTTTTTTATGTTTCTTTTCAGTTTTTGAGGCAAGTTCTTACTACCTATCCCGGCTGCCATGGAATTCATTGTGTAGAATGGGTTAGCTCAAACTCATAGTCCTGCCTCCACCTCTTGAGTGCTGGGATTATAGGTGAGCACAGAGCACCTAGCTGTATCACTATGATAGTTTTTCTTGTATCAAAGCTAAGCTGGAGTCACGATGCAATGGAGATACAAAGTTCACAAGTCTGGGCGTGAAGACACTGGAGCCGTTATCTAATCACAGCCCTGACTTGCTAAGACTTCAAAGGAAGGAACTTCAGTCTGTCCCAAAGCAATAGAAGGATATAGCTGATGGGTTTAAGGGTCCCACAGATGCATGGGGTTCAACTTAAGATCACTGGAACTCTGACACGGCACAGGCAGGAAAGGAGGAAAGTTAAACGGCCCACACTTACAGCAGGCTTGGCCTGTGGAGGCTGTGACTGCCCAGACTTGTCTATTGCGTTTACATGGAGAGTACCTGGAAATAAATGAGAAGTCATTGCAATGGACTGGGGAGACTGACTTAGGTACTTTCTGCCAAACCTGATGGATGACCTGACCTCAATTCTAGGGACCTATTTACATGGTGTAAAGAAGACAACTGACTCTTGTAGGTTATCCTGTAACCTCCACCCACACCATGGCAAGCATGTGCACACATACGTTCATGAAATGATAAATAAATGCTAAAAGTTAAAAAAAATAAAAGCAAAAAACAAAACGAATTGCCCTGGAGCTTAAGTCATTAGGGCAAGGAACCTGTACCTGGCGTGGGTAGAAACTGACAAACACCTAAAGGCCCTTGTTGGGGTCTGTGATCAGTGACACAGGGGACTTCAGAAAAGCAGACATCTTGTCTAGGAAAGGCCCTGCTAGTCTGCTTCCTCCCCGACCCCCAGCCTCAGCTTCAGAGAAGTTAGTCAAGGGTGAACCTACTAATGACCTGCTGATACAGAACATTCTTGTGCCACCTGCCTCCTCGTCCATGCAAAAGCCAACAAAACCAAACATAAAACCAAGCATTAGCTGCTGGAATATGCCGGAAGAATCCTGTCATACCAGAGGCACACGCCTGTAATCCCAACACTCAGGAGGCAGAGGCAGGTGGATCTCTGTGGGTTCTAGGCCAGCCTGGTCTATAAAGCAAGTACTAGGATAGCCAGAGCTGTTACACAGACAAACACTGTCTCAAAAAAAAAAGGAAGGAAGGAAAAGAGAGAAAGAGAGAAAGAAAGAAAGAAGGAAGGAAGGAAGGAAGGAAGGAAGGAAGGAAGGAAGGAGCGAGTGAGCTATCACCCCAGACTGCTGGCCCAGTGCTGTTTTTACCAGCTTGGCCTAGGACAACACACCGTGTGTGTTTATCATGACTGTTATAGTTTTAAAAAGCAGTTCTGGAGAGAAAGATGACATGCAACAGAGCTTGAGTGAAGGTGTTTTATTAGGGGAAAGTGAATGGGAATAGGGGGGAGGGGAGGGGGAGACAGGAGCCTTAGAAGAGAAGAGAGAGGCATAGACAGGGTGGGGACTGAGGGTGGGTGACAGAGAGTCAGAGGGCCCTGTTAAAGGGGGACATAGTGAATATGCACATGTGGTGCTCTTAGCGGCTGCAGCGGAGGGTGTATCCTGTCAGAAACCCAAGGCCAGGCCAAGACAACACACTGCCCGTGTTCATCATGCCATTTCCTTGTGAATGTGGGAGGGTGTTCCTGCTCCTAGGCAGTTTCAAAGAGTCTATGGGGGAAATCATGCAAAGAAGTTTCCAGAGAGGGTCTCATTTATAACGTAGTGCAAGCTGACTTTGAACTCATGGCTAGCCTCCTGTCTCAGTATCCTAGTTTGCTTCTCTAGGGGATAAAATACTGACCAAAAGCAGTTTGGGAGAGGAGTTTATTTGCCTTACAGTCTATGATCCAAAGAAGTCAAGGCTAAGGCTCATAGCAGGAACTGAAACAAAGACCATAGCTCCTGGCTCATTCTCCCTTGACTTGTTCAGCTATCATTCTTGTAAAGTCCAGGCTCACTCACCCAGAGATCACAAGGCACACTGTGACCTGGCTCTCCTATGACAATTAGCAGTCAAGAAAATACCCTACAGACATTCCCATTGTTTGATCTGATGGAGGCAATTTCTCACTGGGGTTTAATCTCCAGTTACCCCTCCTCCACAGGAAAAAAAAGGAGAAAGCAAAGGAATTATGTGTTTCTCAGCCTGAGTATCTAGAGGGGAGCCTGGCTTCTGTGAGCATTCTATAAAATTCTCAGTAAGTAGTTAGGCTCTGAGGAGATGTGAAGGAGACAGACACCTAGATTTGGCATGTGCGCTCAGCTTCTTTAGGCTTCACCATTATGATCTAGGCAGGGCTCAGGCAGACATCCACAGACCAGACCAGAGCAGGTTGAATACAGAGAAAGGGCCCAATGGTGCTGAGGACTTGCAAAAGAAGGACAAACACAGAAGCCTATCTTCTTCCCGGAATTGCATCACTCACCAGCCAGGCTGGTACTTCCTTGACTTGTGTAGCTGACAGGAGACTCCAACAATAGCAGGCAGGCTAAGTGGCAGGTAGCTTCTAGGAATTCCAGAATACAGTTATTGTGTTGTGAGGCCCTATGGCCAACGCCAACCTGTGGTCTTAAGCCATCTGAGGCATCTGCTCTGGCCTAACAAACTGGACTGATGGCCTGGAACCCATCAACAGGACACAGGAACAAACCACAAATGCAATAGGCACAAGCCTGTATACATTTAGTTCATGTGACAAATACATCAGGGTCTTCCTGGCCTCATCACTAAAGACACCCTCCTCAACACACACACACACACACACACACACACACACACACACACACACACACACGTACGCACGCACGCACGCACGCACGCACGCAAAGATGCATTGAGGCTTGGTCTTCATTCAAGGATGGTCAGGACTTTCAGGAAAGAAATAAGAGGTGGGCGGGTAGTAGGCCTCAAGTCCAGAAAACATGGGGTGATTATATTTTCACTGGTTTGAGAGAAAAGGGGAAGAAGAAAGCAACACAGTGAGTTTTGAAACAGCTAAATTCATGCCCTGTAAAGGAATTCAGGGTGGTGTGTCCCGTGCTTTCAGAACAATGCCGTTTCTTCTTTCTCGTGTGAAATCAAGTTCAGAATACATGGCAGTCAGTTTATATCATCTCATATTTGGCCCAATAAAAATAACATCCATTTCCACATTCATTAATTGTTTTACTTATTTATGGGGGCACGTAGAGGTCAGAGGACAGCTTTTGGGAGCAAGTCCTCTTCTTCCACCATGACTGGAGAAACAACTGGGTCTCGAGGACTGAAACCAGATTGTCTGGCTTGGCAGCAAGCACCTCTTCCTGCTCATGTCAGCCCTCACAGCAATGTCTTGCCTTCACTCCCCACGGTTTTTGTTTTGTTTTGAGTACTGATCTTTGGAAGCCAAAGGTCTGTGAATCTTGAGGCGTATGTTCCAGGTTTAAGTCATGAAGCGTACAGTTTGCCTTGCTGAACAGGCTGTGGGCATTGAGGAAAGAGGAACTCGGTGTGCTCTGCATCAGGAGATGGGGCCAGAAAGGAGTCAGAGGTGGGCGGAGCAGTCCTTCTGAGCAGCCTTTAGGAGGCAGTGGCCATTGACAAGTGAGTGAGCAGAAGACACCGTCTCGCCTCTGCTGTCAGGGGACTAACCTGGGCTCCAGCAGAACAGACAGATTAGAAAGGAAGGAGATAAGAAGACAAATGATGCAAGACATCAGAGATAAAGACAGGGTTAGGTAAGGAGTCTGGTAGCCAATGGCAAGGAACGAAGAAATACGGCAAGACTTGCAGGCTGTCCTGTGACATGCCAGCCTTGAGGACACATTGGCATGGACACATCCAGCACATTCAGCCACGCCGGAGAACAGTACAGAGCCAAGTCTTGAACATGACAGGTAGCCTATCCGGTCTCTGGGCCCACAGATCCTAGAATCAGAACAATTTGGGGGCAATTATGAGCTCTGGGGTAATGCCAACCCCGCCTAAACACATTTGACCCATTAGCTAGGCCAGTAATCAGGTACTATTGCCGAGTACCATTCAAAGATAATCCATTCAAAAGACTTTTGGGTAGCAGGCAATTTAAGGGTGTTGGAAGGATCTGCAAGTGTAGATGGACACCTGGAATTAGCACTTGTTCTCAGCAGAATGGTGCCCATAAGGCGAAGTCATGGGCCCTAGCTAAAAAGCCACTCTTCTGCCCCAACCAACTGATGCAATGTGGAAACGAGATTTGATCTTTGGAAATTTTTTTTAAAAGACTGGCTATCTGGAAGCTTACTTAGTGAGCTAACTCAAGCTTAAACTACAACGACGTTACTGGAGTTAAAATGTGTTTTACTTGCAAGCTGAATTTGTTCCACAGACCTCTAGTCTGAGACCTTTGGCCTAGAGATTAGAGAATCATTAAGCCCATATATCTATAACCTGAATCTGGGACCCTGTGTTCTCTACCTGACAAAACAAAACAGCAAAGCAAAACAGAATGGAGCAGAGACAGAGAAGTGGGTTTTTGAAAACTAGGTTTACTTAACAGTTTGTCCAAAATGGAGAGAGAGAGGGGAAAATTACTAGTTTGTCAATACCCCGTAGCAGTGCTACGATTTATAAAAAAAGATGTAACAAACCTCCTTTAAGGTGAAGAAGGCATAGAGAGAATGTAACTCAGGGAGAAGAGGCCTTGGAAATGCCATCATCTGAGCATGACACAGCCTTTGCCACCATGAACTTGGCAGCTGTGGGTGCCTGCTCTGAGCCTGTACAAGAGTGGCTCTTTGAACTGTCAATCATTGAGTCCTCGCTCTCCCCGAAGAACTATTGGCTACTGCTAACCCCACCAAGTTCCAGTGTTTAGATTAATAACCAAAGCCAGGAAATAAGGCATTGTGGGCTGAACACGTGATGCATGTGTCATAGGTGTGAGGAGCCTGTGCTGCAGGGGGTTGCCTTTCTGCAGGGGACTTTGGGCTGTTCTCACCCGTACCAGTGGTTTCATGGAGAAAATTACCCATTGCAGCCCAGGTGAGACTGTTACAGGCCCACAATGAGTAAGCAAATATATGCCAGCAAGAAGACAAGCGAAGCCATTAATGATACAGGTGAGATTTAAATATCTGTGAGGAGAAAGGTAAGACTATGAAACACCTCAAATTCAAAACTAACAAATCAATAATCACCTCTCTGTTCTTCTCCTTCCAAGGAATGTGTACCAAGTGTAAGTGTACCTGTGATCTCTGGACAATGTTTGTCGCGGTGGCTTTAAATGAAAGAACAACTGCTTCTGTGAAAAACAAACTGGGGTGGATCTGTGGCTCCCCTAGAACCATTGAGTGGTGTTAGCTGAGCTGAACTGGGCCTAGAAACTTCTCTGTTGCCACTATACTGGGCACTAGTCTACCCAGACATACTTACTGGGTTTCCCTGGAACTAGACAACACCTCCCTGAAACAGGTGATAGGTCATTCCGTCTTGTCTTAGTCAGGGCTGTTATTGCTGTGGTGAAACACCGGGACCAAAAAACAAGGTGGGGGGGGGGGAAAGGTTTATTTGACTTAGTCTTCCACATCACAGTTCATCATCAAAGGAAGTCAGGACAGGAGCTCAAGCAGGGCAGGAACCTGGAGGCAGGAGCTGAAGCTGAGGTCACAGAGGGGAGCTGCTTACTGGCTTGCTTTCCCTGGCTTGCTCAGCCTGCTTTCTTATAGGATCACCAGTCGAAGGATGACATCCCCTACCAAGGCCTGGGCTCTCCCCCATCTATCACTAAGAATATGTCTTACAGCCTGATGTTATGGAGGTATTTTTCTCAATTGAGGCTGCCTCCTCTCTGACGACCATGGGTTGTGTCAAGCTGACATAAAACTAACCAGCACAACTTCCTTCCTTCTTTTGTTGTCCCTGCCCCATATCTTTCTCTGTCTTCCTTCTTCCCTCCATCCTACCCCCGCCTCCCCCACCCCCATACACAAAGGACTAAACCCAGGACGGCCAGACAGGGTTACAACCACTAAAGCCACACCCCCCCAGTCCTTTTTGTACTTTTTATCGAGGAGGGGTGGGGGAGTCGCCTCGTCTTGACTTCCCAAGATGCTGAGATTACAGGCCTGTCCCACCAATTCCAGCTCGGATCGGCAAGTTTTTCTCTACAGCTGGTGGTCTCTGAGCATGCCCCAGCACACACAGGCATGGAGGGTGAGGGTCACCATGGGAGGTACCAGGGCACACCTGGGGGTGCTTGTGGTCCCACCCTTAGTCATCACCCCTACTGAGACAGAGACTGCTGATCATGTGGGGCATGTGGGAAACAATTTCCCTTACCTATGTGGCTCTCTGGGACTGCACTGGACGTCCTCTGTCCTGGGCTCCCCTCACCTACAACATGTCACAGAACATTGCTGGTGTGTCCTCATCGATATCTCCATAAGCATTTGGGAGGAGGTAGACTTAGGACTGCTGAATTGTTTTCTAGGTTGGTAACGTCAGTGATTTATTTCAAAAACCTTTCTATTGGATCTACACTTGCATCCATCTTTATAGACATGCATGGAGATATGCAAACTGTTCAGAATATAGATGTATATATACACATACAAATAATATTATATGTGTATATAATATATGTACACTTGTGCAATACTTTTTAAATGTGTTGAATGCAAAATCAGGGAAGCCATGCTGGACCGTAGCTTGAGGCAGGGATCTAGACCTAGAGTGCCTGGACTTAAAACTTGGTTCTGTTGTTTTCTGCTTGGATGACCAGAAACATCCCTCCCACAAGCTTCATAATACATTTATCTGTTCCATAATGTCATTGGGAGGACTAAATGGGTGACATAAGTTGGGTTGCCTGGGAAACAGGCTCAAAACAGAAGCTAACAAGCAGGTTTTCCGTGGAGGTTGCCCTAGGACCAGCTCCTGTGGGAGAAAGCAGAGAAGCTAAGCTGGGCAGAGGCAGGGATTGGGCTGCAGTTCAGTTTTCACCTAAAATCCCAGGCGACACCATGAGGGTCTCCCCTATTATTTTTCCACGCGTATTAAACTAGCCTCTGCACATTTTGTCTCACTGTTGCAGAAGCTGTACTATGCTGTCCAATCTCCGTTTCAGAGACAAGGAATGGTTTCTCCTGCTGATGGGTATGGTGCTTGCTCACAGCCCATAAGTCCAAAGCTGGTGACTTTTCAGAGTTGTTGTGAGTAGAAGGTAGGGTTCTCAGAAATTTCTGTTCCTGTGTGGACATGTCATGGACTGCAGTCTGCTCTCATCACCCCTGAGGAAGGTCATATCACCCAGGTAAAGCAGCTTTGGGAGCTTGAGAGGGCCTAAAGATGGGGGATTGAACACTCCATTGCAGAATGGAGATAAAACAGAAAGACATAGCCTCAATTCCAATGAGTCACATGTGGGGATAATTTCATATTACATAATATTTATTGTCTCTATGCATCTTATTTTCAACTTGTTGGATGCTTTTGCTTTCATATGCAGGGCAAGGAATTTGTAAGATATCCCCAGCCCTTCTTGGACTTTTATTTTGAGAGAGTCTTTTTAAGACTCCTGGGCTGGTCTTGAACTTGTGGTCCTTCCTGAGTAGGTGGGATTATAGACCTTCCACATCATATTCAAGCCACAACAACACATGGCCTGAGTAACATCTGTCACTATGGCCATTTGTGAGATGCTCAGGATTGGTGGCCTTTGTGTCCTCATCTTGTCATGAGATACATCACCCTTTAAGGAACTGGTGAGTTTAATGTGTCACTCACGAACATTATACACACATGAATGAAAAAATAAAAGGGTTATGTCTGTACCAATATTTGTACAGAATTGTTCCCAGAAGCCAAAGTAAAGAAACTGCTCGTAGAGAAAGAACAGACATGATCTATACTCAATGATTTTCAAGATTATGGTCACTTCCTTATTTCTAAATGGCCAGAACGAATATACAACAGAGGGTACCTGAAGCATAGCAGTGGGGAAGTCAGTTTAGAGTTTATTTCTTCCTGTTGCCTCATCTACAGATGAAGTAAAACAAATAAAAGAGATAAATGCAGTGACTTGATGGCGCCTAGGGCAGTGTCTTCATTTAAATCCAGGTCACCAGGCTTTACGTTCAGGGCCTCTCTATTGGACCACATCAGAACACATTGCAACTGAATTGTCCTCACAGTTCCTGCCAGCTCTAATGAGCTGATAGTGGCATCTATGTTAGAGGGACTCAAGTTAGAGGCTTCATATGACCGTCTTATTAGAGTGCTATTTTCATTTCTAGAAATTCCCTGTCCCACAGATGAATGCAAAGGTGCCAAGTTGAAGATAAGTGGTTTTTTTTTTTTTGGTTTTACGAGACACTGTTTCTCTGTGTTGTTTTGGAGGCTGTCGGTCCAGCCTGGCCTCGAACTCACAGAGATCCGCCTGCCTCTGCCTCCCTAGTGCTGGGATTAAAGGCATGCGCCACCACCACACGGCTGAAGATAAGATTTATGTAGACAAGAATACTGCTATTTGTAAGAAGAAACACCAGGTTGGGTTTCAATTAAGCTTAAGATCTAACCAGATTGCTCCTCCAATCATAGAATATTGTCCTTTGAGTTTTGTTCTTTTTCCCCCCAAAGCAAAGTTGTCAAGGTTCAAATAACCACAGAAGCCTCTCTGCTCTTCCACAGTGTACCCGCGAATCTACACAGATGAGATGAAAGAGCCGAGCAGCACTGCGGGGACCAATGATCAGACAGAAGCCATTTCCAGAGCATGCTGGGTGATGGCAGGCATTGGAGCTAGGGCGTCCATCTTGTTCTTTCTGGTGATGAGAGGTCAGGGCCCCAGAGTGGGAGCTTGATGGAACAAGACTAAATTTTTATTATGACAAAACACGTGTAACAAAATTTACCTTTAAACCATTTTATGATTCTGGTTTAGTGACTTGGACACTTTTACCATAATGTGCCACCATCAGTGTGCAAGTCCAGAATTTCCATCAACTCAAACAGAAGTCTGGATTCATTAAGCAGTAACTCCTTAGTCTCTCTTGGGTAACCTCTACTTTCTGAGTTTTCCTGCCCTGGGTGACTTACAAGGTACCTGTCCTTTTGTGCCTGTTGTCATTCAATAAGGGGGAAGATTGCAAAGTGCATCCAAGTCATGTTTTAGTGCTCGCTTCCTTCCAAATGCTGAATGACATCCCTTGTAAGGGTGTACCATACTTTGTATTTCTATACTTTGCAAATGTACATGGGCTGGTTCTGTTTTCTAGCTATTGCAAGCAATATTAGTATAAATTCCGGTGTGGGGTAACAGGGTCTTATTTGTTGTTTGTTTTCATTTTTCATTTTTTTGTTTCTGTATTCAGCTCACTTCTAATACACTAAAGCATGAGTTCTGAGAAGATTAGCTAATGCAGTCTCTCATGACTAGTTGAGGAAGCAAAGGCTATACAATGCCAAGCCTCTCATCCATTTAGTGGCAGCACTAACAGATGGTATTAAGGCCATGAGCTTTGGTTTGGATCTGAAATGTGGCCCACAGGATAATGTTTTGAATTCTCAGTCTCCACCTCATGGTACTATTATTTTAGTAATAATTTTTATTTATTCTTTGGGAATTTCGGAAATATGTATTTTTGAGCATATCTACCTACCACCAATTCTCCTTGTAGCACTCCCAACATGGCCCCTTCCCAAATTCATGTCCTTATTACAACTCAGTGAAACCAATGGTGCTGCCCATATAGTGTGCATAAGTGTGGGGCCGTAGGTGTGGGCCATGGGCAACCTATGCATGGCAGCACCTGCCTTCTTTTCCATGATGGTACCTGAACCTTGTGATGGAGGAGGGTGACATAGGTGTCCTATTTAGAACTGAGAATCCAGTCACCTATGCACGGTGCTTTGGTCAGTTATGAGTCTCTGCCTTAACTGCTGCACACAACAAATTTTGACCATTTTTACAGTTTCAGGCATGAGCTCCATACTGTGGAACAGGCCTCAAAGCCAAGCAGAAAGCACTTGGTTTAGTCCCACAACCATCACGACACTAATGCCTTGATGGACACATCTTACCTGTCAGCTCAGCACAGCAGCATAGAGTCCAGCTTTGAGGAAGACCGTTGTCTTCTTTTTTCCCTTCAGGGCCAGCACAGCACCTTCTCACACTGTAAAAGGTAGTATGGCACTATTTGAGGGCTGAGGAGCCTTTAGGCAGTGGGCCCTGGCTGATGGAAGTTGGTCACTAGTGTGAGTCTGTTGCCAAGGGAACAGCCGCCCAGTGCAAGCTCCTACTGCTACGGACTGAGCTCTTTCTGAAACTGGGAGCCGAAATATGTCTTTCTTCCCTTAAGTTGTTTCTGTCAAGAATTTTGGTCACAGCAATGCAAAAGTAAACAAGACAGCATGTTATCCAAAGCTTGGATTCACTGGCTGAGTCATGATAAAGCAGGTCTATCATTCTTTCCCACAACACCAGCAATTAAATGTAGCGTGGCATACACACAGGAATGTGCTCAACCACTAGGGCTATCGCCCCAGCTCTGTGCACCATTCGTGACCATTTATGTCTACCCCATGTGGCAGTTTGAGTGTAACTGGCCCCCATAAGCTCAGAGGGAATGGCATTATTAAACAGTGTGGCTTTCTGGAGTAGGTATGGCTTTGTTAAAGGAAGTATGTCTCTGTGATGGCAGGCTTTGAGGTCTCCTATGCTCAAGCTATTCCCAGTGTGGACACAGACTACTTCCTGTTGCCTGCAGATCAAGAAATAGAACTCTCAGCTCCTTCTCCAGCACCTTGTCTGCCTGCACAATGCCATGCTTCCCACCATGATGATAATGGACTAAAACTCTGAAGCTGTAAGCCACCCACAATTAAATGCTTTCCTTTATAAGAATTGTTATGGTCATGGCATCTCTTCACAGCAATAGAAATTCTAACTAAGGCATCCTATGTCTAGCAAATGGATCACATAATGATCTTTTTTTCTGTGACATTATTAAAATTTAATTTAAATTAGAAACAAGTTTGCTTCACATGTCAATCCTAGCTCCCTCTCCCTCCCCTCTTCTCCCGCACCCCTTCAAGCCTTCCCCAACCCCTCCCCCAATCCCTACTCCACTCTCCAAGGAGGGTGAGGCCCTTCTTGGGGGATCTCAAAAGTCTGTCATATGATCTGGGGCAGGGCCTAGGCCCTCCCCCATGTGTCCAGGGGGAGACCGCATCCCTCCACGTGGAATGAGCTCCCAAAGTCCATCTGGATGACAGGGAAAAATGCTAATTTATTGCCTGAGGCCCCAAATGATGCTGAGGCCTCCTCACTGACACTCATGTTCAGGGGGTCTGGATCCCATGCTGGCTTCTCAGTCTTCAGCCTGGACTCTATGAACTCCCCCTTGTACAGGTCAGCCAATTCTGTGGGTTTCACCCACAAAGTCATAACTCCTTTGCTCATCACTCCTCCCTCTCTACAACTAGGCTCCAGAGGTTCAGTTTAGTGTTTAGCTGTGGGTGTCTGCTTCTGCTTCCTTCAGCCACTGGATGAAGGCTCTAGGATGGCACACAAGGAAGTCGTCAATCGCATTATAGGGAAGGGCATTTAAGGTAGCCTCTCCAGTATTGGTTAGATTGCCAGTTGGTGTCATCCTTGTAGGCATCTGGACATCTCACTAGTACCAGATCTCTCTTCAAACCAAAAATGGCTCCTTCTATTATGGTATCTCTCATCCTTCTCACCTCTATTCCGTCCCCTACTCAACTTTCCTGCTTCCCCATGTCCTCCTCTCCCCTCCTCTTCACTCCCTCTCTTTCTCCCAGCTTCCTCACCAACACTATCTCCACACCTCCCTTGATCCCAATCCCCTCAGAAGATTCTGTTTTGTTGTCCTTCTCTGGGTTACCATGCATGTCTCTCTTAGGGTCCTCCCTGTTTCCCAGACTTTTTGGCTGGGGATTGTAAGCTGGCACTCCCCTGTTGTAGGCCTAAAATCCATATATGAGTGAGTTCATACCATGTTTGCCTTTTTGTGACTGGGTTACCTCACTCAGGATGGTTTCTTCTAGTGCCATCTATTTGCCAGCAAATTTCATTGTAAAAATCATGAACATACAGAATAAATAAAAAATATTAAGAGCAGCAAAGGAAAAGGCCAAGTAACATAGAAAGGCAAACCTATCAGAATCACACCTGACTTCTCCATGGAAACTCTGAAAGCCAGAAGGTCCCGGATAGATATTCTACCAACACTAAGAGACCATGGATGCCAGCCCAGACTGCTATACCCAGCAAAGTTTTCAATCACTATAGATGGAGAAAACAAGATATTCCGTGACAAAACAAAATATAAACAATATGTATCCACTAACCCAGCCCTACAGAAAGTTCTGGAAGGAAAACCCCAACCTAAGGGAGTTAACTACAACCAGAAAAACATAGACAAATAGATAATCCCACCTTACCAACAGCCAAAAGAAAACAGGTGGAAATCCACATATAATTCCACCACCATCAACTATTCAAAAATAAACAAGAATGAGCAATCAATGGTCATTAATATCCCTCAATATTAATGGTCTTAACTCACTCATAAAGAGACAAAGGCTAACAGAATGGATCTGGAGACAGAACCCATCCATTTGCTGCATACAAGAAACACACCTCAGCCTCAAAAAACATACATTACCTCAGAGTTAAGGGTTGTGTTGGGGAAGTCCTGTGCATTTGTCAATAAAGCACTGTCTGGCCAATAGGGAATCTAGATAGGAGGGACTAGGAGTCCAGAAGGACTCTGGGTAGGAGAAACACAAGGAGAGCCGAGATAGGGTAGGAAGCCCGAAACTATTCTCCGGTAAGAGAAATACTTAGATTAATAATTATGGGGTAATTATTTAAGTCAGAGCTATCCAGTAAGAAACAAGCAAGGCCAACAGCTTCATAATGAATATAGCCTCCTGTGTGCTTATTTAGGACTGGTGCGGCTCTAGAACCAGGTTGGCGGGAAGGCTTCTCTCAAGGAAAAAGCTTCTCTTTACAGGGTTGGGAAATGATTTTCCAATCAAAGGGAACAAAAAAACAAGTGGAGATAGCAATCCTAATATCTAACAAATTAGATTTTAAAATAAAATCAATCAAAAGAGATGAAGGAGGGCACTACATACTCATCACAGGAGAAATCCACCAAGATGAAGTTTCAATTTCGAATATCTATGCCCCAAATACAAAGGCACCCTCTTTCATAATAGAAACATTACTAAAACATATCACATATAAAGCCCCACACACATATTGTGGGAGACTTCAACACCACTCTCACCTCTGGACAGGACTACCAGACAGAAACTTAACAAAGAAGCAAAGGAACTAATACAAGTTATGACCCAATTGGAATTAGCAGATATCTATAGAACATTCCAACCAAATAAAAAGGAATATACCTTCTTCTCAGCACCACATGGAACCTTCTCAAAAATTGACCACATACTTGGCAACATATCAAACCTTAACAGGTACAAAAAGTTGGAATAACTCCATGCACCTTATCAGACCACCATGGGTTAAAATTAGAATTCAACAACAACACAAACTGCAGAAACCCTACAAACTCATGGAAGATGAATAATGTACAATTGCATCATTTCTGGGTCAATGAAGAAATAAAAAAAGAAATTAAAGACTTACTAGAATTCAATGAGAATGCAGAGACAACATACCCAAACTTATGGGACACTTTGAAAGCAGTGCTACGGGGGAAGTTCATAGCACTAAGTGCTCAAATGAAGAAACTGGAGAATAGTTATACTAGAGAATTGACAGCACAGCTGAAAGCTCTAGAACACAAAGAAGGAAATTTACCCAGGAGGAGTACATGCCAGGAAATTGGGGCCTGAAATCAATAAAACAGAAACTAGGAAAGCAATACAAGAAAATCAATGTAACGAAGAGTTGGTTCTTTGAGAAAATCAACAAGGTAGACAAACCTTTATCCAAACTTAGCAAATGACAGAATGTGAACATGCAAATTATCAAAATCAGAAATGAAAAGGGGGACATAACAACAGACACTGAGGAAATCCAGAGAATCATCAGGTTATACTTTGAAAAGCTGTACTCCACAGAATTTGAAAACCTAAAGGAAATGGACAATTTTCTTAATAGATACCACTTGTCAAAATTAAATCAACAACAGACAAGCAATTTAAATAGACCTATAACTCCTAAGGAAATAAAAGCAATCATCAATAGAAGCAGAAGGGTGTTTGCCAAACTCTTTCTACGAAGCTTCAAAAATCTTGATCCCCAAGCCACACACAAAGACACAATTAAGAAAGAAAACTTCAGACCAATATCCCTCATGAACATTGATGCAAAAATACTCAATAAAATACTGGCAAATCGGATCCAAGAACACATCAGAAAACTCATACACCTTGATCAAGTAAGCTTCATTCCAAGGATGCAAGGATGGTTCAACATATGAAAATCCATCAATGTAATCCACCATATAAACAGGATGAGAAACAAAAATCACATGATCATCTCACTGGATGCTGAAAAAGTCTTTGACAAAATCCAATACCCCTTCATGATAAAGGTATTGGAGAGATCTGGGATAACAGGAACTTACCTCAACATAATAAAATCTATATACAACAAACCAACATCAAACTTAAATGGACAGAAACTCAACACAATTCCGCTAAGATCAGGAACAATACAAGGATGTCCACTCTCTCATACGTCTTCAATATTGTACTTGAAGTTCTAGCTAGAGCAATATGACGACAAAAGGAGATCAAGGGGGATACAACTTGGAAAGGAAGAGGTAAAACTTTCACTATTTGCAGATGACATGATAGTTTACATAAATGACCCAAAGACCTCTACCAGGGAACTCTTACAGCTGATAAATACTTTCAGCAAAGAGGCACGTTACAAGATCAATTCAAGAAAATCAGTAGCCCTACTATATACAGACAATAAAAGGGCTGAGAAAGAAATCAGAGAAACATTGAACATAAAATACCTTGGGGCAATGCTAACCAAACAGGTGAAAGACCTGTATAGCAAGAACTTTGAGTCTTTAAAGAAAGAAATTAGAGAAGACACCAGAAGATCAAAAGATCTTACCTAAAGCAATATAGAGACTTAACACAATCCCCATTAAAATCCCAGCACAATTCTTCACAGACCTTGAAAGAACAATAATCCACTTTATATGGAGAAACAAAAGCCCCAGGATACCCAAACCAACCTTATTCAACAAAGCAACATCTGGAGGCATCACCATCCCTGACTTCAAGGTCTATTACAGAGCTGTAGTCCTAAAAACAGCTTGCTATTGGCACAAAAATAAACAGGTAGACCAATGGAATGGAATTGAACACCCTGATATTAACCCATGCATATATGAACATCTGATTTTCAACAAAGAAGCTAAAAATATACAATGGATAAAAGAAAGCATCTTCAACAAATTGTGCTGGCATAACTGGATACTGGCATGTAGAAGAATGTGGATAGATCCATGTCAACCGCCATGTAAAAACTTAAGTCCAAATGGATGAAAGACCTCAACATAAATCCAACCACACTGAATCTCTTAGAAGAGAAATTGGGAGGCACCCTTGAATGAATTGGTACAGGAGACCGCTTCCTGAACATAACTCCAGTAGCACAGACACTAACATCAACAATTAATAAATGGGACCTCCTCAAACTGAGAAGCTTCTGTAAGGCAAAGAACACAGTCAGCAAGACAAAAAGGCAGTCCACAGATTGGGAAAAGATATTCACTAACCCCACATCTGACAGAGGG